TGGATCTGCCGTTGGTCCAAGAAGCGAAGAACCTTGAATGTAGGCTTGCTGGCGAGCGACTGAAGCTAGGGGAGAGATAATGGAAGGTGTATAGATAATCGCCGTCTTCAATCTAAATAATTCTGTCAATCAAATTGTCCTCGATAAGGTGGGATCAACCAACTTGCTAGTTGGGCGCAGCATCCCATGTGCAATATGTAAGCCTAGTTCATATTGCACATTCGAACGGACGCCGCGCTCCAAAAAAGTTTGAGGGGTGGGATAGACATGAACTGGCAAGCGACCTGAAATGGTGCCTTCTAGTTGTGCCAAAATTCGGCCCTGTTCCTCTGCTGCCCGTTTTAATCTTTCCTTCGAGTCTGACTCTTGTGGGGAGCTTGGCATAGAGAAGGAACTAACTTGATTCCCCGGTCTGTCCCGGTCCAAGGAATCCTTGCGTCGCCCAGCGCCTCTCATAGAGATATACGCCGTTGATACATCATGGGTGTGGTTGTCATTAAAGTGGTCGTTTGTACTCATCTGCGTAGATGGGGCTTTCTTCGAACCTGAAAAGAAAGTGGCATTCGTGGGTATGCTGCGTGAACGGAAGCGAGTAGGTGGTGTGGTGGCAGGTAGAAGCGAACTCGACCTTGTCGGAGAAACCGTAGCATTCGAAGAGCTCGGATTGGGCGACGAGCCAACAGGATCTTGAAGAGTTTGAAACGGTGGAGGGAATGCAGTTGAAGTCGATATATCGACAAGGGTGGGAAATGGGAAAGCAAATGGGAAATGGTGCGCCCCATTGAGTCTCCCATTGAACTTTTTCGTGGACCCTTGGTCTGGGAAATGGGGATCTCCATCGGCGCGTGTCCAGATGCTAACTTGGTGGTCAAGGAATGTGTCAGATTCTTCGGCGAGGTAACCTCTTATGACGCGTCCACGAAGCTAACAAAAAGAATCAACATTTAGACACTTTGAAATAACAAGTCATGGACCAACGGAGACAGTAATTGAGTTTATAGTCTGAGGGCTATCTAGTGTGAACTCGATCAGGCCCGCAACTATGTCGCCGCTTGAAAAGCGGGGAAGGTCCTGATGCTTTGATGAAGCGCCTGGTGACGGTTGGCTGAATACACGGAAGGTAACCCATGGCTTGTTCTTCAACCCACTGCATATGTTGTATATGTGTTCGGCCCTTCCTGTCGTGACTTGCTGGGCTGAAACGCCAAAGGCGCTTGAATATCTGGGAGGGGCGAATGAGTACCGAGGGGGCGACGCTGATCCGACCGATTCTCTAGCACTTAATCTGTTTTGAGAGGACGCGTCCTCAACTGGGGGCGCTGTAATGCCATCGTCAGTGGTGCTCCGTGGATCAATGGTTTCACCATCAGCGTAAGGCTCAACATCATAATCTGATATTGACTGCTGGCTGCCTAGAGCTGAATACCGAGGAAGGCGCGTGCCAACTCTGTTAAGAGGAGCCGTAGTTCGATGAGGGAATCTATTCGGAGACTCCGCGTTCAATGAGTGCTCGGGAGATAGTTGATGTCCTGAATCCATTGTTATACGTTGAAGAAATGCGGAGCTGAGAAAAGTTGGACATGTGTTCAACGGGTTTGACTCCTTTAAGTATGTGTGGATCTGGAAAGGTTGCACTTAATAATGTGGCGTCAATCGACTCCCCATTACTTTATCTTGAATTCAGGTGAACGTGACAAGTGAAGGGGGTTGTAAACGCGTTGGTTCTTGTCTCGCCTTGGCGCGTCAGAAGGGAAAGAGGCTTTAAAAACCGCAACAGGCAGTTCCGCAGTTCCAAGATGGTGGCAGAACAATAAGATGCTAGTTTGGCACATAGTAAGTTACGGTTTGGTATCTCAGATCTGGATTCCATTGAGCAACTCAGCTGCTCGTTGCCTCTACCGTCATCGACACAGATTGTCTACAGCCGCAGAAGACTTTGTTCAACTGACTCATAGCAAACTTGTCCTGGCCCGAAGCTCGGTCACGGAAATGACTGTTGAATAATTAACCGAGTCACGATCGTTCCAGCACTAACCAGCGGTATTGTCAGGTTTGACACCGGTAACTGTGCCGTTGTATGAATCGCTATCACCAACATCGATGATTTGAGTTTGACATCGCACGAGTTGACCACATGACGTCATCAACCCGTCTTCCTCACGTTCCGGTTTGATAGGGTGCGGTTCTGGCCTAACGACGCTTCACTTTCTTGGGAGCGAAAACGGTCTGTCATGCTGGCACTCAACAATAAGCATGTCATGTGTCGTGTGTCGTGTCCAGGTTGACGCCCGTTTAATATTTGATAAATTATTGTCCAACTTTTCTTTTAAAGTGGTCTGTTGAGCTCTGGAATCTGAGCGAGATATGTACCTTGGTCAATGGAAGTGTGCGCAGCAACGTCAACATTTGGCAACCCACGTCGACGACAGAACGCAACGGAGGTGACAAGAAAACAAACAAAATGACAAAGTCAATTAATGAGGATGATGATAAGGGGGGGAAGCTGTTAACGACATCGGCCGGCGTTGTCGCTCAATCGAAACGGTATCACCGGGCTTCGGAGTAGGTCAGACTCGACACTAAGTATCCCCGCTGACATATGTTCCTTTTCTTTCTCCCTGTCCTTCTCCCTTTTCTCTCGTTCTCGATCAGGGAAAGGTTTGGTGAAGGCAGTTGGCATAGGGCCTTCCTCAGAATGATGTGTGGCGATCTCCACAGGGTGTATGAGAATAAACTTTTCTCGCCCAGTTGAATATGGCTCAAAAGATTGTGAAACCAGTGGGAGCATTTCAATGGCATACTGGTAAAAAGCGGGCGATTTCAGCATTCAAGTGCTTTTGCCTGTCAATGATGCACATACATACCTCGACGCTAAACGGAAGGAACCTGCATGTCGGCTGTAAGTCCTTGGCGAGATGTATCTCGCCCTCCAATCTCCTCAGATACATCCCTTGGGTAGCATCACTCGCTGGGACCCACCAAACCGCCAAATCGACTTCGTCTATTTCCTCTGTCATATCCCCACGTTTGCCGCCCCCCATGTTGAAGAAGGACTTGATGGGCGACGCAAAGGGATCACCGCTAAGTGTGCCAAAGGGAGATGATGGTTCATTTAGGACGTCGTCAGTGGTCGATGGAGCACCCGCGGTATAACGTACCCGCCGTGTGAGCCGGACGACGGGAGATTTAGGCGTCGAGAGAAGATCCAGGGCATGAACGTCTAAGCATTCGAGGGTCAAGTAGCAAGGAATGACGGTGCCACGGGTATAACAGAGCTGAGAGAAGATTGTAA